GGAGCTCTGTCTTCTGCGGAGGAACATGTCTCCGCCATATTCAGGGTCGAAGAAGATGGAGGCTATGTGTTCCTCCGAAACGTCGGTTGACTTTCAGCAGAATACATGACGTTATATCCCCGAAGATGGAACGTTTTACTTTCCTGTTCGAATGCGACAGTTCTTATTCTGTTAGTGTTATACTCGTACTTAAATAATATAAATTTAAAACTAAGAGATTATTTGCCGGTCACGGTAGCTGAGCGGTCTAAGGCATGCACTGTCTTCACTAGCTCGGAAGCCGGGATCGTGGGTTCGAATCCCACTCAGGGCATGGATGTTTGTGTGCGTTTTTCTGTGTTTGTCTCCAGGTTGCGACGAGCTGATCACTCGCCCAAGGAGTTCTACCGCATGTGTAAGAGCTAGTAAACCGAAGTGAAACGGAGAGTTTCATGGAGGCAGGCCTAGGCCCAAGTTGGGGCTGTAGCGCCACAGAAAAAAAAAGAGATTATTTATAATTAATCTGAGCATGGGTGTGTTTATTGTAATGTTTTGTCGATTTGATTAGTATTGACGAGTAGGACAGATTCACTACTGCAATAAACGGCAGAGGAATTCATCTCTGTTTCACTCCGTATTGCAGTCCCAAGTTTTGTCGAAAAATGTTCTCCCGAGACGTGTTTAGAAGGAGTCAGGTCTGCCGCGAATTTTTATAAGGAATTGTACTCGTATATTTGAACATTATGTTCAGAAAAAAAATATGTTAAATTTAACTATTAAATTTAAAATTTTCTTATTTATTCCGATTTGCGCCTTTTATATTTTTGTGGTTACTGTATACTTCCACACAATTCTTAATATTTCTATAGGGCAAGGATTTATATGTAGATACATATTTATGACCGTTGTGTAATTTCATACACCATTTTCTTCAGATGAAGTTTTGTGATGTTCTGCCACGTGTGTTTGACAGATTTGTATATTCCGTGGGAGAAGAGAGTCTTGGAACAGTGCTCTGGATCGAGCTATCTGTCCAATCCATCTCTCTGTCTATAGACAGCCCTTGTACACCGTTACCGCTCTTTCAGTTCCTTAATCTATACACAGTAGGATTCCTTGGACGGGGGATCAGCCAGTCGCAAGGCCGCTACCTACACATTACAACATAAATACAGCATAAACGCACAGAAATTCATACCTCGAGTGGAATTTGAACTCACGATCCCAGTGTTTGAGCAGGCGAGGACGGTGCATAGCCTTAGACCGTGCGGCCACTGTGATGGGCACTGCCGTAGATAACAGCAATTTTTATCCTTTCAAGCTGTCTTCACAGAAGTTGTCAAGTTCATGGCGTGCATATTTAGTGAAATCATCATTTCCAAGTGTCCTCCAAAATGTGTAATAAATATATAGGAGGGATTCAAAAGAAGGGTAACTAGAAATTAGAACTGTTAAATTTTCCCATTGAAATTTTATGGAGTATTTCTCTAGTTTCTGTAGATAACATTAACTAGCTGGTTTCAGTAATGAAGATGCAGTGTCTTTTTGTATGAGGTAGCCACTAAGTTTTTAAATATTATTTTGATAAATTTGGGGCTTCATAGGTTTAACGCAATGCAGGGCTTCTAATGGCGCTGATCGGATGGATTTCCTTTGTTGGTCCAAGGTTACTGTGACCGGCTCCGTTGCGCTGATAGTCGTATTAACTGAAAGATTCGGATTTTGGAAAGACCCCGTTTTTTTCCTAAATGTGAATCGATTAGAATAATCTCTCTTTTCTCAATCATGTAGCTCTATTTAAATGAACGGTTCGTGAAGACGCGCCGACAAGCGGACATACAAGAGAAGCTTCAGCACCATAGCCGGGGAATCCATCAGACTTCCGCAGTGTCGTATGTCGACACGCTGATGGCTGTCTTTTGGTGGGTTCGAATATCTGCTTATAATGTTTCGGGGTTTCATACAGGAAAGACAAAGCAGCGTAAACTTATATAGCGAAAGCTGTATTACCCGGTAAGGAAGGTAGGCGACCTTGCTAGTCCGACCACTCTTTGCGTGCTGTAGAAACAGAACGTTTTACACGTATTGTATTATTTATAATATATTTAACGATGTTCTTAGCAGGTTAAACTCTATAGCGTCAAATTTAGGATGATTATGGACCGCCTCTATGGTCTAGTGGTCAGAGTTCTTGGCTACAGATCCAGAGGTCCGGGTTCGATTCCCGGCGCTCCCAGGTTTTCTGAGAAATAGTGGTTCTGAAACGGAGTCTACTCAGCCTCGTGAGGATAATTGAGAAGCTATTTCAAGGAAATAGCGGCTCTGGTGTAGAAGACCGAAATTCGGGGGGATTCGTTGCGCTGACCACGCGACACCCTCTATGCACTAAAGTTGGCACTAACTTCGCCGACAAGCGGCGGTCACTAGGTCGGTATAGTTCGCTTGCGGACTAAAGCCACCGAGTTTAGGGGCCGGGATAGCGCAGTCGGTACAGCGACTGGCTACGGGCTGGACGATCGAGGGGTCGGAGGTTAAGTCCCGGTGGGAACAAGAATTTTCATTTTTCCATGTCGTCCAGACCGGCTCTGGGGCCCACCCAGTGGGTACTGGGGGCTCCTTCCCTGGGGGTAAAGCGGCCGGGTTGTGAAGCTGACCACTTACCTCCAGCTAATGCCGAGGTCAAGAAATTTTGGATCTATACATCCACTCCCCAACATGTCTTCATGGTGTAGTGCTTAATTAGTAAGGCACAGGGACAACTTTACTTTTTTCGTGAGTAATTAGTTGGAAAGGATGTGGAAGGCAGCGGTCTTGGCGTGGTTTGAGGCACTCATAAGCGGATCAGTTCGTGTTTGAGGCAGGTCATGACAATTTTTTCCTCAAGTCCCACGGGTTTAGAGATAATTATACAAACGTAGTTTTTGTGCTCACATTACGCCTTGCAGTCTGACAGATTTTTTACTTAGGTTTCGGATTAACGTACTGCCTACATCTTCAGGGCCGAAGAGTAAGCCAAGCAAGTACCCACCAAGAAGCATTATGTATTTTGGTCATCTTGATTCTGACACCGTGTAGTCTGTACGTGGGTGGGGAAGTATACTGCCTTGCATCTTCAAGGTAAAATACATTAACTTGTGTTACCTCGTCCAATGCTTTCAGAATTGTTTTAAAGGCCTCTTCACACCAGCCTTGATGTGTTCTTCATTAGCTTACATTCATCTTTGAAGAATTTCTGCCCATAAAGAAAATGTTATTGTCCTTGCCTCTTCTCTTGCAGTCATATGCTGTTTATGGATTGTAATTATTGTTAGAAAGTAGAGGATGATGTAAGTAAAACGTACAGGTAAACGATGCCCATTGAAACTGGATGAGAAGTCTTGAGTATAACTTTCCAGTTAACCATTAGGTAATGTGTGACGGCCTCTGTGGTCTAGTGGCTACAGATCCAGACGCTCCGGGTTCTATTCCCGGCGCTGCCAGATTTTCGGAGAAGTAGTGGTTCTAGAACGAGATTCACTCAGCCTTGTGAGGATAACTGAGGCGCTGGTTCAAGGAAATAGCTGCTCCGGTCTAGAATACCGAAATTAACAACCGTGGGGATTCGTTGCGCTGACCACGCGACACCCTCTATCCGCTAAAGTTGACACTAACTTCGCCGACAAACGGCGGTCGCTCGGTCGGTATAGTTCGGTTGCGGACTACAGGCCACGGAGTTTGTATAATTGATCCACCGAACGCGTTGGTTTAGAGTGAACGCTGTACAGTAGTACTCGAGAGATGTTTGGTTTCGAATCTTGCCCAGAACAAGGACTATCCTTACTCATGTTTTTTCGTTGTTTTCTTAATTGTCTCCCAAGAAAATGTTGGAATAGTACTTCGATTATGCCACGACTGCTTCCTTTGGCATCCCTTCCAACATATCATCAAAACATTCGATGCTTAGCCTGAGTTACTGATCGTATCGCCACGTAAACTAAAAGTGTGTCGCCCAGTTTACATGTAGAATTCAGTCAGGACTATTTCTGACCAAGATTGTGGTATTCTTAATGCACCTTCTGGATATACAGCTGTAGCAGAAGCGAAGAACATATTGTTTTATAGCAGTGGGGCTATTTGTCGAATTTCTGAATGTGATTCTATTAATTTGAATATTATTGGGATCTAGAACGGAGGACATAACAGAAAGATGGGAAAGGTTTCATAATGAAGAGCCTCTTAGTTCATCTGTCTGTCTGTCTGTCTGTCCACCATAAAACTTTCGCGGTGGGAGACTGAGAAAAAACGCGTTAAACCGTAGTTATATATTAACCTGCTCCTTTATGGTAATGCTTATGAACCGTGTTCTTTTCGGATGTTGCGTGTGCTATTTTTCATCCTGATGTACAGTTGTACTTCATCAGTTGTGTAAGATATATATAACCACTTCTGTGGTTCATTTACGTTACACTGTAGTACATTAAAGATGAGGTTCTAACGGTCGTAAGAAAAGTGTTGTTTTTTGGTGTGTGACGCCGTGTAGTCTGATAGAATTTTACCGACATTTCAAGGAACTTATTGAGTCACCATCTTAAAGACCAAAGAATAAGCCAACCAAGTAGAGCCCTTTGTTTACTTCGACTCTGAAGACGAAGGCAGGACTCTGCTCCGAAACGTCTTTGAACTTCTGGCAGACTACGTGATGTCACATTTTTAGAAACAATACCCGTGGTGTAAACAGAATTACGAAAGTAAATTCAGACTTTTGTTTTTATGTAATTTATCTTAAACATATACAAATAAAGGCTGTTTTTACATTGGTTCTTGTGCATGTAAGCTTTCATTAACAGCTTTATAGATATCTTCAGCTTCAACTTCTACTTGAATTTAGCAGTAGCGTGTATCTGGGATGGGCCTGAAAGTAATTGTCGGTGCCTAACACTTCTGTAGTTACAACTAACACACCGGTGAAAGCTTGGGTCTAACTGCATACCACTAACGAACGATATCCATCTGTCCAATGACGAAAATAATTGTTCCTAAAGGTGAGATGTCGTCGCGAGCCCGCCGCAACACTCGGGTCACTGAGAGCCTGCGAGTCACTGAGGTGTCACGCCGTGTTGTGACCTCATCCTCCGACGTGTTGCACATAGAGTCATCTCCACAGCAGGATCTGCTCTATCCTTACAACTTGCTGGAATCTGCGAGAATCCTACAGCCGGAGGGTGATGACTACAAGCTCGTGTTTATCAGTTCGGACTCGTCGTCGAAAGAGGAGGAAGGCTCCCACGATTCGGATGACGATGCGGCAGATGAAGATAGTTCATCTACCTCTTCAGTTGGTGGCGGCGTCACTTCCGGTTTCGATTGTGACTGGGATTACTTTGAAAGTTCCTCTGCTGTGCGCCCGATACTCAGAGACTGGACATGGAACAAGGGTACTGGAGGCGGAGGAGAATCGTCAGACGATCAGCAGCAGACATTTCTGAGAACATCCGGCTTCGATTCCCCGCCGAGTCTCTCCACTTCTTGCCGAAAGCGTTTGTTGTACAGCACCAGAGGCCCCACCCTGGACTCCGATGACGTAAAGACGGCTCATATGCCAAGAGAGGCCTCTTCTCCGGCGTCGTCTTCCGACGGTGGCAGTTTCCTCAGACACCGCCGGTCACCTGTTACTGATTGTTCTGCTCTGGACGATCAGGTGATGAGCGGGAGCTACGTGGGCGTAAATGTAGACGGCAGATCAAGGCCCTCCCCGCAAGATTCCCAGCGCGGGTCAAGGCCTCCTCCCCCATCCATGTTCTATAATCCGAGACAACAGCGCCAATATTTCACACGTGGCGATTCGTTGAGGTCAAGTGGAGAGAGAAGTTTAGAAGAAATCACGTTTTCGGATCATTTCTATTACTATGGCTGTTCTGCACGAGGGGAGAGAGGAGAAGAGTTGTCGAACCGGCCGCCAGGTGGGGAGGATATTGCCAACGCACGGTCAGCAAGAACCGGCAGTGTACACCAATGCGGAGTGGACAGCGCGTCGCGCGACCATGTTCCTGCGGCAGCAACCACAACCACCACACCGCTGAGAAGGGGTTCTTGCGAGAACTGCGGTGCCGTTGACACCCCCGCAGTGTTCACCGCGACCGTCCCTGTGCCCGTACCGGTACCTATACCAGTGCCGGTACCCATACCCGTTCCAGTACCGGCGTCCCTGTGGCCTCAGACCTTCTCCACTCCACACCACCAGATGCAAGTGGCAACTAATGCCGATACAGTGAGTGTTGCCGATATTGTGTACTTGGGAGCACAGGAGGGGGGCAGTGACGGCGTCACCACGGCCACCGCGTCTTCTGCAGCTGGTACTGGTGTCAGGATACGAATACGGAGCTACCAGCGGCCGCCTGCCATCTCACACGTCGTGGTGGGCCCTTGGTGCACCTGGCCCATACTGTCCCCCACAGGAGAACCATATTGCGCGTCGGGGTTTATCAATGTGGTGGGAGGAGAAGCGGCGAGTGCGTCTGCTGTCAGTGTTGGCGCTGTTATCAGTTCGGAGCAGATAGCCGCAGTACCTGAGCAGGACGCCAGCGTGGCCGAGCAGTCTCCTATCAAACAGAGCATTCCTAATGAGTGTTCAGTAGATGCTACCCGTAATAGTGACCAGTGCTCCGCGGATAACCAGTTGGTTCACGCAGAGTCCAAAAAAAGTGCGCAAAAGTGTACGGAATCGAATAAGAAAGCAGGCACGAAACAGGGAAACAAACGTAAGCAGAAACAGAAGCAAAGGAAACAGAAACGTGAAGCTGAACAGAAGGCGGCGGCAGCAGCGGCAGCGGCTACGTCGGCTGTGCCGGTAAGCGAGGTTCCTGCTTACCACGAGCAACAGAAAGCAGATGAACTTCGACAGGATGGTGACGTAACACAGACTGAATCATCACAGCGACCAGAAATGAGCGAAGAAGAAAGGAAAACCGAAGAAATAATGTTCGAACCTTCGTGCGTGGAAACCGATAAAGTGCTTGACAACAGTAGCGATATCTCTGTCGCCATAACTGACGTAACGAATGATAAGGAACAGTTGAATGTGAAGGAAAGTGTGTTGATAAGTGACAAGGAGGTGAGGCGAATTGAGGATTGCGATGATAATGGTGTCGTCCTAGTTATGTTCAGACAGTTCAAGGACGATGATTCGGAAAATATTGATGTAAATAAAACTGAATTGCTTATAGAAAGTTCGGGAGAATCTGTATTACTTCCGGTGTCTGAGGCAGTGCCCGATCCTGGCGCTAAAAACAGGAAGCCTAAGAAAAGAGGACGGAAGAAAAAAGGTAATAAGCCGGCCTCTGACAACAGCAAACAGGAAAGAATTATCATAGCAGGCGCCCCCATTATAATATCTGATGTCACAGAAGGTTTAGCCCATTTACCACGAGAAAGACTATCATCATGCTCTTCTTTATCCTCCAAAAGCGATTCTGACGAGGAGAACAACACCGATGTTAAAAGGACATATTATTTCACATCACGAGATGATAGTGATGCGTATAGTGACGCTGATGTGAATATTAACATCGAAAGAAAGAATGGAGAACTCGGGGGAAACAATGACATCGTAACGAACACGAGTGAAGAAGAAGAAGAAGAAGAAGAAGTAGACGAAGAAATGGGGAAAGAGGAAGCGGTGGAGGAGGGTGCGGCAGAGGAATGTGTTGAGTCTGCGATTCCGGTCGCTAGAGAAGGCTCCACGCCTCTTGTTGCAGACGATGACAGCTCCTCACGCTGTAGCACAGATACGGAAAGCGGTCACCCGGATGGACAGCATTTCTCGACAGTGTTTGTAGTGAACAGCAGCAGTGATGGTGAGGAGAGCGGTGCTGAGGATGTCCCAGTGTGTCTCACAAAGATAAAGATCATATCCGAAGATGACTTATTGACGGTCACAGAAATTCGTTCGGTTGGCGAGACTGTAGATCAGGATACACATGTTAAATCTTGCCTTGACACACCAGACGATGGATCTGTTGCGTGTGCAGAAACTGAAATAGTTGGTGTTGTCTTACTGAGTCATAATGTCTGCCAGGAGGGCATACCTGCCGTATCAGAACAGACTGTACATGAAAGTGAAAGCGTTGAACTTAAACATGTTACCGAAAGTGTGACTGCACCGCTTGATGAAATGGTTGAAACTATATTCAATAATGAAACAGATATATCTAAGTCTGACGTGGAACTAGGAAAAAATGGAAGTAGGAGTACATTTATAAATGGGACTGTACCTGAACACCTCATTACGGATATGATAGCGTCAGACCGTGAAGAAGGAGACGAACAGAGTTTGAGGGGTGAAGTAAATGAGGGGAGAAATGAATTACATTCAGTGGTTGTACAGAAAATGGAAGAGGGGGATACGACTGACGTTACTACATACATTAATGAGTCAGAGTATAATGACATCATTGTAGCAGCTGAAAATGAGTCCGATTTTCATGAAAATAGCAACGACACAGAAGAAAAAATCGAATTATTAAAGTACACAGAGATGAACATCAGTAACTATAACAAATCAGAGAACGAAGCTGCAAAATCAAATTCAGATGGTTTTGAAAAACACAGTGACCAGAATTTTTCTCATTTACCTGTGGTGTCAGCTGATGGAACAGAGTCTGAAATAGTGACAGATAACATATTGGATACGACAGAATATGATGCAACGCTTCAGTTATCAGCTGCGACTTGTAACAAAGCAGCTGACACTGGTTCATTGCAACCAGACAGGAATATGGACTGCAGTAAACCGTTTGTTCAGTCATCCGTGGAAATGCCACAGTCTTCTTCCGGCGATCCTGCAGAGGGTAAACAACATACTTCCGTTTTGTACCATTCTGAAAGAAAAGAAGTGGAGGAAGTGGAAGAATCAGTCTTTCAGGATGAACCATTTGAAGAAGAAGAAGAAGAAGAAAGGGGTGTGGAAAGTGACAGTGTGTCAGTAACAGAGTCCTGTAACGCGCATGAGCAGAATGAAGATCAGGTCATTAGCACAAATCCTGTTACAGTTATTAGCGAGCAGATCGGTGCCTGTAATAACAGTGCAAGTTCTTATAAAGATGCTATGTCAAGTGATTCCAGCTCCCTCTGTTGTAAGGACGACGTTATTTCCCCTACAGACAGTACAGTACAAGACAGTTCTACAGTTTTAATGGAGATTTGTCCAATCGATTCAGTTCCCATGGCAGCTAATGGATTTCATATTGAAGAAATCGTGTGTGAAAGCAGTCCAGTGCTCCAGTCAGATGAAATTATGGCAAAAATAACAGAAGATATTATATCTGAAGTAAATGTTAGTGAAACGGTTAATAGTGAAGATTCGTGCGGTACTTTTAACAAAGACTACAGCCACGTGCTACTCTCTGCCGACTCTCTGCAGCAGACTGCAGAATCGACCTCGTCTAGTGATTCAGTTATATCAGAGACAGGTGATATTACAGGCAGGCTTTTCACCGACACATGTGTTGTTGAATATAAACAGGAAGATATTATAGAGGCCAGTTGTGTATCAGTCGGTAATGCAGCATGTAATGAGAGAGAACAGTGTGCTGTAGTTTCGCAGGTCTGTAATAGAGAGAGAACAGGAGAAATAAACGTTAGTGTAGACGATAATATTATTGCGATCGATAAATGCGAGAAAAATGTGAGTGTTGAAAAGTCACCTGTTGAATCAATTGTCGACGACGTTATTGTTGTCGAGGAGGAGGCCAAGACGGAGATCCGGTCTAGTGGTGACCCCGTTACGTTAACAACTGTGCTTCAGTCCACTGGGAGCGCTAGCGTTGCAGGTGAAGACCAGCTGCAAGGTGTGTCGTGTTTAGTCGTGACTGAGTCTGCAAAAGAGAAAGACACGTTTGATGTCCCCTCTGGGGAACCCCGGTACACGAGCTTAGTGATGATCACGCAGAACCACCTACACCAGGAATCTGTGGTGAGCGTCGTCACCAGCGAAACTACGACGCTTGTTCCTGCTGACGTCATAGTGAGACACACGAATTGGGAGGAAGATGGCGGCGACGCGTCACCAGTTGAGAACACAGCTGGTCTTGCAGGATATTTCACGCTCACGTTGGAGACTCCGGGAGCCTCGCCGTCTTGTAAGAAACCTCTTATTACCAAGACGCGTCCCCAGATCATTAAGAAAGAAGAGACGGCCCCTGTGGCCCAACAGGAAAAGGGAGAACAGGATTTGGTGAAAGTGGTGACAGGTGGTGATACGTTATCTGCTGTGGTGTGTCTCGAGGAAGGGCTTGCTGACGATGATTCGTGGGTGGAGGAACTCGACAACACGGGCAGTAACCACGAGGATGAGGAGTTCGCCACGACAACACCGACGGAGGAAGATTCTGATTCCGGTGACGAAGTGACACTTTCCTCGGCGTCGGCGGCAGCGTCGTCTTCTTACTCGACGGACAGAGAGGAGGAGCTACGTGGTTACCATCGGTCAGCCATAGACTTCACGCTCCACACAATCGTGGAGGAAAGCTGTGAAGAGAGCGAGGTGGAACAAACGCCCGAAGAGAAGAGAGGCAAGAAACAACGACCCCCCTCCGCCTCAGAGTTAGAAAAATATTTTTTTTATGGCCTTGGGGGCGGTGCAGCAATAGGTTCGCCTCCCGGTGGAGGCGGTTCTCGTGAGCTGGATTCATTCTCAGACACGTGTAGTTCTATATACAGTGAGGGGTTGGAGTCTCTGGGGGCTGAGGACATGACAGCAGGTGGTGTGGGTGAAGGTCCTGCACCGGGGACGGATGATGGTGTAGTGGACCCGGCGGAGCTGGCGTCGTCGAGACTGGAGAAATACTTCCTGACAGGATTCATGGGTTTCCCAGCGTCGGACCGTAACAGTAGGGACTCCGATGGGAGTGGGAGTGTTGGCAGTGATAGTGAAGGAAGACCCAGTCCCGAGCAGAGGCGGAAGAAGTTGGTGCGGGCTCGCGGGACAGGTAGGCAACACTCTTCATCTTTGGACAATCTCGTGAGCGGGGAATTATCGGGGGCGGAGCAGCAGCAGTCGGAACTTCAGGAGTCTGAAGATTCCTCCAGCACGGAGACAGACACTCACCACGAAGATGGCGGCTCTTCTTCATTGTCCCTTACTACTTCCGGTTTTGAAAAACCCGACGGACAGTTCGACACTGTTAAGAGGAAGAAGAAAAAACGCAGTGTTTCGAGTAGTGCGGGTGGACGCGTGTCCCCTGCTTCATTACCTTCATTGGATGATAAGAAAGACTGTCTCTCGGCAAAGTCTCCTGTTGGGGAGTCCACTTCGGATAAAATACTTGCATCCTCAGAGGAACTGTCCACTCTAGGTATTGGTCATGATGACAACTCAACGACGGACGAGGAAGAGGGCTGCAAGACGCCCCAGCCAGAGTTCCTGTTACTGCCTGCCTCCGAACTGTCAGCTTCGCGCAGTAAGCAACAGAGTAGGGACAGTGGCTTTATAGGCAGCTGCGATGATTTGCTGAAGGAACAGCGAACGGGTAGCGACTCCAGTAGTTCCAGTAATAACAACGACTCACCTTCTGCAGCAGTCACACAGAGAGCGAAACAAGCGTCCGTCAGTTCGATTACAGAAGAGCTGAAAAAGAGAGGTACAATAACTGCTAGTGTGTTAGATGTGGGTGTAGGAAGTACACTGCCGGTAGTTGAGGAAGGTGTAGGTGATAGCAGTAAAGCTCCACACGTGATGAATACTTCGTCCATCCCTCCTGCTACCTCCCTGACTCGGAAGGACTCTTTCAATAATTGGAGTTCTGACGAGGAAACTAACCTCATGATGTCCAAGATGAGAGCATTCTTCAAAACAATGGTTGCCGCATCGTCGTCTACCCAAGGGCAGCAGAAGACTCCGCAAGCAAGTCCCAGTACTCGGCAACGGGGCACGAAACCGCCGCAGTTGGTGTATTTTGAAAATGAACTAACACGTTTAATGAAGACAGTACCCGGTATCAGAGACGAACAAGTGCGGGAGATAGTGGAGTACCTGAGTAGCGAGGATACATGGAGCGATTCGTATGACTCCTCAGACTACACAAGCTCCGACCTGGAGGGCGCCTATTATATGCAGCAACAGGGAAAAGTAGGTGCCGGGGTCGTGGGAGGGAAGTCTGAGTTACAGGAGCAGATATCAGCAAGCTGTCAGCAGATCATTAACAAGTTCGATACAAGTCTTGAGGATGATGAGGATCAGGAAGACAAGGGCTGTGGATTGAACCGTGACACTGCGTTCGTGTATCAGCGTCTAGTAGCTTCTTTCAATAAGATGGCTGGAGACCAACAGAATGGCGGCTCTGGCCAGAAAGGCAGTCACAGCCCTAGTTCCGATTCTACCCCCTACAGTTCCCCTCCCCTTATCGCTAAAGTCATGCATCACATTGGGAGTCGTCTTGTGGCCCTAATGCACGAGGTGTCTGGTGGGGAGGGTCTGGGAGCTACCACATCGAGCCCCAAGGTACGATATCACCACCGTCGTCTACAAGCTAAGTTATCCGCGGCGTCCACGACGACAGATGACGACAGCCACACGGATACAGAGCAGTCGGGCGTAGAGTTACCTGGACTTCCCCGCAGTAAGTCCCATGATCTACTTCTGGAACCAGGAACTCGTCCCAATGGAGTATCCTCGTCAATGGAACTGGCGACGTCAGAGGAAAGGGAGGCGAGTGACTATGAGAGGTTTTCGTGGCGGGGAAGTTTCGAATCCGCCCTCATGGCGGCTGATTCTAGAACAAAGCTGTCTCTACTCCAGGATTCGAACAACGCATCGTCTACAACAGCCCTTGCGGCCAAGAGACGGTCAGCCGGCGACCTCTTGTTCGCGGGGAAGAGCTCCAGCCGGGAGCAGCTGTTGGACAGAGTGCGCAGTTGCGGCAGTATCGGCGGAAGTGTTGAGGATAAGATTTGGAACGCGAGGCGGAGAAGATCCTCTGTCCCGGATGCGAATACTTGTCACGCCGGTTCTGGGACGTCGGCAGACGGCGACGATGACGATGACACTGACGATGATGACGATTCAGATATGAGGTCCACGACACTTCCGAGGAGTCTTCAGACTTCTTGTAGTGCGGGGACTAACTCGTTGCCACGGTTGCCAACCTCGGCGACTCCAAGTCCTGCCCCCAGTGTGTTGTCCACCGCCAGTAGTGGCGGCATGTATAAGTCGCATAGTGTTCAGCATTTCGGTCAGGGACATGTGAAGTCTGCTCGTTATAGGCCGCCAGGGTTCAGCAGGCTTGCCGCCCCCAAGCGAGCCGTGTCAGCCCCCGGCTTACAGCCTCTACATCCGAGTAGGAGCAACAGAGGGGACGCAAGCAGGAGGAACAGACTGCAGCCCAACACAGCCGCCCCCGCCCCCCAAGTGAGCGGTAAGTGGACACTTCAGGATTACTGAAAGGAACGGGGGTTGGATGGTACTTCAGCCGTCATTTTTGTTTGCTTTTATCAATTTGTTCGTGTTTTGTTTAAGGATGCTTTCAGTATTTCAGATGATGTAACGTCTAGAGGCGGGATAACAGTGAATAATGAAATAGAAAGGCGTGGAGGGGAACGTTCTTCGCATAGAGATACTATTCCAAGCATTTGCCTATAGTGACTGAGGAAGACCACAAAAAACTCAGTCATAACATGTCTTTGAGTGAGATGTGAACACGAAACCTGCCGAACAGAAACCGTTAAGTGCTTATCTGTACCGTGGCATTCGATCCGTCATTCTGTTATTGTCACTGTAAGCAGGGTAGTGTACGCTTGTTGATGCGTATTTGTCTCGTGTTGCGTAAAGGAGGCCATGGTTAAGCATTCGTGTAAATAACACGGGGAAACACAAGTGTGTTAGTTCCGTGTCCGGATGATTATTACAGTAGTTGTAAGAAATAATTCAGTGATTATTGGACATCACCAGAACAGACACCCGGTTTAATGAAGTTTTACCATTTAATGTTAAATTATTATATGCTTAATTAAACACTACATCGTGATGACGCCTACAAGACTAGAGGCATAAAAATAGCTCTGTAGTTAACTGGACAGTCGATCACAGTTTCCGTGCGGTCTGAGGCATGAAATGTCTTCTCCTGCGAAAACACTGGGATCGTGGGTCCCAATGTCACACTGTCCACGTTTCTTCTGTATTTGTGTTGTTCTGTGTGGGTAGGTAGCGGCCATGCGACGGGCTGATCCCCCGCCCAAGGAGTGCTACCGAATGTCTACAAGATTGAGAAATTGAAAGAAGCGATCAGGGCTAGAATTGGGCTGTAGAGCCATTAGTAGCGATAGTAGTAATTATTAGACGTCAATACCAGAAAGAACATCCCATTTAACGAAGATTTTGACCATTTGAAATTGAGTTAACCGCTTGAGCGTAGAATTAAACGCCACACAATGAATACAAGGGGGACTGAAAATACAGAAACTGTTCTGTAGTTGTTGGACGTAATTACCAAAATAGACAGTTGCTTTAGTAAAGAGTGTTACAGGTTCAATTTAAATTATCCCTGTGCTCAGTTAAGCACCACGTCTTGAGGCCAGCCGGGGAGTGGTTATTGGGCAACACTTACCAGAAAGGACTTCCGGTTTAGCGAAACTTTTTTTTTTCCTTGGCACTACAGCCCCAGTGGGCCTACGCCTACCTCCATGAACTTCTCCGTTCACTTCGGTTTTTCTAGAGCTTACACATTCGGTAGGACTCCTAGAGCGGGTGATCAGCTCGTCGCAAGGCCTCTACCTGTACACAAACACAGAAAAACGCACACAAACTGAATATCCTTGCCCTGAGTGGGATTCGAACCCACGATCCCGGTTTCCAAGCGAGCGAAGACAGTACATGCCTTAGACCGCTCGGCTACCGTGACCGGCTAGCGAAACGTTGAACCATCACAGTGGCCGCGCGGCATGACCGTCTTCGCCCGCTCAAACACTGCTATCTTTTTTTTTTTTTAAATTCTCATAGTGGGGGGTGGAGTCCAGTTGTGTCCACCCGTCACGGCGGCCACTGATTGGCCGATTGTACCTGTCCCGGGTGATTATGATGATGGAGAATTTGGTAGAATGAAGATTTGCAGGGGAAACCGAAGTACTCGGAGAAAACCTACCCCACCGCCACTTTGTCCACCACAAATCCCACTTGACAAGACCCGGGTTTGAACCCTGGCCGCCGCGGTGGGAAGCCAGCGACTAACCGCTTGAGCTACGGCGCGGCCACACTGCAATCTTGGGTCCAAATCCAACTTGAGGCATGGATGTCTGTATATGCCTTTATTCTGTGTTTGTGTTGTTCTGCGTGTAGGTAGCGACTTTGCGACGGGCTGATCCCTCATCCAAGGAGTCCTACCGTCTGTGTAAAAAAGATACGAAACTGAAAAAGCGGCCAAGGTCCAACAGGACTATAGAGCCATAGATAGATGTTAATGAGTACCATATTGTTAAGCTTCCCTTCGCTGTTCATTTCAGTTTGTGTTGCACTTTTTCAAGTCTACTTTGCTAGCGATACGAGTCTATTGTGTGGCCTATTAGTCCTGCTACACCTCACAGTTCTTCACGACAGGACAGGTCAGGTCGACATGTAGGACTTGTCACTGTGTTAATTTGTATGGTACATTGTGTACACGTACACACAAACATGCACAAAGCAAGTTTGTATAGTGGCATCGCTGTAGACGTGTATTTAAGATTTATCCGTCGGTTCAAATATCGGTCTGTCTACAACCTAGCTTCACTGAGGCCTTTGTGAACAGTTTTAACAGCGCTCTTAAATACCGCGAACCTCAGTCACGTGTGCCTGTGCCGCGAACAGTTGGTAGAGCATCGTTATATAGCTTGGGAGTCGGTCGAAATCTTATCTCTTCACAATAACGATAAATGTGTGACTCCATAGAAACCGTATCAGGATTGTTGATAAGGTCAGTGGAAATATAAATTTATTTGAAAAACATCTCCAGACTCCGAATAAATTGGTTTAAGTCAGTGATAAAAGTCGAAAAGACGGGAAATGCATACAAAATTTTGGTCAGGAAATCTGAAAGGAAGGAGTCTTTTGAGAGACCTAGCCACAAATGGCAGTATAATCGTAAAGTGTACCTTTAAGGACGTGTGTGTTGTGTGAGGTTGTTTTGGCGAGTTGACTCTATTCACGTATTTAGATGTTTCGTTGTTATTAACTGCCGATCACATTGGCCGCGCGGTATAAGGCATAAAATGTCTTCGCTCGCTTGAACACTGGGACTGTGGGTTCGAATCCAACTCAAGGCTTGGATATCTGTGTGCGTTTATTTTATGTTTGTGTTGTTCTGTGTGTAGGTAGCGGCCTTGCGACGGGTTGATCCCCCGTCCAGGGAGACCTACGGACTGTGTGTAGGATTAAGAAACCGAGAAAGCGCTGAAAGTCCATCGGAAGGGCTGTAGAGTCGTAAATAGATAGATTCTTTTTTTTTTCTTTATTGCTAGTGGGGTGGGACTAAGTCCCTTGTCCTGCGAACATTTCTGGCCTATTGCACCAGCCCCAGATGATAGGTGAGGGTGATTGTGGAGCAGTTGGTGGAATGAAGATTGGCAGGGGAAACCGAAGTACTCGGAGAAAATCTGCCCCCAGCGCCACATTGTCCACCATAAATCCCACTTGACCAGACCCCGGGATCGAACCCGGGCCGCCGCGGTGGGAAGCCAGCTACTAACCGCATGAGCTGTGGCGCGGCCTAGATAGATAGATAGATAGATAGATAGATAGATAGATAGATAGGTAGACTTTTATGGGGTAATATTCGGGGACTAAAATAGTTAATTTTTTTAATACCGATGTTTAGATTTTGTCGGCCTACTTGTTTTAGAATTGAAGATTGTGAACTCCTAAAGATGACTCTAATACAGACGTAACATATGTGCTGAAATGCTGTCACGTGTAGGTGTGACTATTAGACGGGGTATGAATTGGATTATTGGATTCATTGCACCTAACACGCTCAACTCGTAATTGCAAGTCATACAGCGCTACCGCTAATCTCCGCACTTTACGTGGTACAGTGATCGTATGAATCTACAGGGTGTTTCTAAATTATTGTCGGGGTTTCCATGGGCTATAATTTTCAAACCGAAAGAAACAAAATAAAACTGCTTACGGAATTTGAAAGTGTAACTAAAAAATATTGTTCGGCAACGCTGTACTGTAATAAAACTCTGTGATTTACTGTATCGTATTCCTGTAATCAGTCTTATTTTTTTACTTCCGGTTTGAAAATTATAGACCATGGAAATCCCGACAGTGGTTTAGAATCACCCTGTGTATTACAAATGTTGAAACACGCACCGTATATATTCTTCCTGTATACTCCTCTATTTCGTGAACACACAACCATCTGTCCCCCCCCCCCCTCCATTACTGCCATAGAGAGGGCGTGTCACTGCATTAAGCGTAATGAATGTAACTTTTGTTCTTCCCTTCTCCCATTGAACACGCAACCCGAAGATGACACACGGCATGATAGTATCTTAGCGTTAGTTTTAACAGTTCTGCCATCTGATCAAATGCATGTATTTAAAGATAACCCTTGCTATCAGTTGTTATGCCTATGCTAGCAGCCGTAGGTGGCGGTGGTTACGATTTGAAGCAGAAGATGGCAGCAATAACCGTTTTAAATCGACATTTCAGTGTTCCGATTTACCGAAAAAAGTTCCTAATTTACCTCTAGATAGCAGCATCATTAAGTGCATAAAAAAGAATGCCTAAGGTCAGTTACAGAGCTCTTGAGGCTAGAAGGAAAAGGATTCTTGCAAGGCGTCTGTTACTTCATAAACAAATTTCCTAAATTTATTTGAAAATTTTTTGTATTCGCTTAGTGGGGGGTGGAGTGCAACTGGGTCCACTCGGCACGGCGGCCACTGATTGGCCTATTGTAGCCTGCCCGTGGTGATTATGATGATGGAGAATTTGGTGGAATGAAGATTGGCAGGGGAAACCGAAGCAGTCGAAAGAAACCCGTCCAAGCACCTCTTTGTCCACCACAAATCCCACTTGACCAGACCCGGGATCGAACCTGGGCCGCCGCGGTGAGAAGCTAGCGACTAACCGCTTGAGCTATGGCGCGGCCTTATTTGAAAATAAGTATATGTACAAAATATTAATTACATTCTTAGAATTAAGAGATATATAAAAAAATCGCGGGGTAACCGCTGTGATAGAATAAGATGTTTATAAGAATGTGCTACAGAGGGTTGGATCGGGATTTCCTAGGCCCTTTTGGATATACATTTATTTTTTTCGAAATAAAACAAAGATGCTCCATCGAATAGAGTATCTTAGCATGTAGATCATTTTCATGAAGTTTCAAGGAAGTATATTAAAGTAAATCGTGATTTATAGTGTCCCCTGCTGACATTT